TTTTTTGTAACCCATGATAGAATTTTTTGTAATCCATGATTGAATTTTTTGTAATCCATGATCGAATTGTTTTTTCTTTTTTTTAATCCACGATGAAATTTTTTGTTTTTTATGTTTTTTTTTTTGTAATCCATGATCGAATTTTATGTAATTCATGATCGAATTTTTTGTAATCCGTGATCGAATTTTTTGTAATCCATGATCGAATTTTTTGTAATCCATGATTGAATTTTTTGAAAATTTGTGATTTTTTTTTTTAATCCATGATCGAATTTTTTTTGGTATTCCATGATAGAATTTTTTGAAAATTTGTGCTTTTTTTTTTTAATCCATGATCGAATTTTTTTTTGTAATCCATGATAGAATTTTTTGAAAATTTGTGATTTTTTTTTTTTAATCCATGATCGATATTTTTGAAAATTTGTTTTTTTTTTTTTAATCCATATTATTCAAAGAGAAAATGAGAGAGATGATGATGCTGAGGCCACCCTATCCCAGCCATATTATTTACATATCGAGTCCTAACAACAACAATGTAGGGATGAGCACGACAGTGTAGGTGAGCATGAAGGATGGACAAGCTTCAGGGATTTTGGATCGGGAACACAACAAAACACTAACACTCAGGGAATTGGGAATAGTCAGACGCCTGCTAATGTCGATGATTCGTTTTTAGATCGAGTCAATGAATTGTTAGACGAATTCAATCAATGGCACCAGCGTGACCAAGAAGAAGAATGACGTCGTCTGTCATTTTATTTTTAGATCATATGTTATTAATTTTATGGTTTATTGTAGTCCATGTATGTTGATATACTTATTTCATGATAATTCTATGTTTATCCTTTTGTGTGTTGTAAATTAAATGCTGAATGGCGATTAACATATCAATATTCGCATATTCATTCAAAAACATGAAAATTCTTAATGGAGTACTTTCATTTTTTATTGAATTATTAAAAAATAATATTTATAATGAATTTTAATAATTTTTTCGAATTTTTTTTTAAGCTTTATTCTTACCGATCCACTCGATTTTCGATCCGAATAGCCGATTTTTCGATCCGGATCGATTTTTTGGTGCCTGATCCGGGTCATCGATCCGTTTTTTAAACCATCGGTCCACATTATACGAACCTCTTTGGATAACTTCAAATAATATTTGTTTTATTTGTTTTTTATTTCTCTCTCTACATTTTCGAGGGATGGCGGCTAGCACCATTTAAAAAGCGTGACATCGTGGGTAAGGAGAGCAGGTGAGATAGAGAGAGGGGATGGGTTTTTTTCATTTTTTATTTCTCTCTGTACATTTTCGCTGGACGGCGGCTAGCACCATTTAAAAAGCGTGGCACCATGGCAAAACAAAGCTAAGGAGAGCAGGTCGCAGAGAGAGGATGGGTTGGAGAGGTATTTTAGGGTTTGAGTATGGTGTGGTGCAGGCACCCCTTGGTCCCGATATCTCGGGCCCTGAACTCGTTGCAGCGGTCGCAAACGCTGGCGCCCTTGGTTTTCTCAGAGCTCCAGATTGGGTATTTAATGCTCTCTCTCTCCCTCTGAGAACTCTTTCTTCCTTCACTTGAAGCTCTGATTTTTGTTTATTCATCTGATCTCTCTAGAATGCAGTGGTTTTAAAATAAGTAATTAAGTCAGTTAGGAAGCAAAATTTGAATATTCATATTGAAGGTAAACATTTAGATTTGTCATGTGAGTGGGAAGTAATTTGTTTAGCTAAATCTCTGTGAATTGCTGCCTTAGCCCATAGTTTTGTGTACTCCTTTGGTTAAGAGGGCTAATATCAATTTTCTAAGCTACTGTTTGTTACTTAAAGCTATATTTTCTTTTGGTTTTGCCGCCATATTTATGGAGCTATACATTTATGTTTAATGCATCATATTCCATGGTTTTTTTACTCCAAAAATAAGAACTTTTAACGAGAGGATTTGAAACAGCGTTTTCTGTATGTTTATTCATTTGCTCAACTGTTGTTAAGTATCGATTGAGGTGCAGCTCCGGGTTTCGTTGCTTCCCTTCTGATTTGATCTCAATTTGTGGCGAAGAAGCGTTCTGCTTGTGTTGGCTTGCGTCATGCTGTCCGGCCTCTTTATTTAGTTAGGGTTTACTTTTCTTTTTAGGTGTTTAGGGTTTATTTTTGGGAAACAACATGGTTTGATTGGTCTTTAAATTTTATAGAGATTTTTGGGATAGCTCGGTGATTTAGTATTGCTGATATTTTAAGGACAATTGTGTCTTTTTATTGTTTTGTCTATACATGTATGATCTGATTTCGAGGAAAGAAATATGCAAGGTTAATTAGTTTTGATACTTGTCAAAGGATTTTTTTTTTATTTTTTTTTTAAGGTGGATCCAACATATCTCTCAATCTTTGATTTTTATTTTTCTTTTTCTTTTTCCTTTCTCTCTTTGTGTGCTTTCTCCCTTCCCGCTGCCTTCAGAGTTATTATAGTCTTGATATACGCGCAGCATGATGCCATCTAAAACATCTACAATTCCATTTTTTGAGCACGTGGATCAAATATTGGATATAAATTCCAATAAAGCTTGACAGAAAACCTGGAATATTAATGCAACAACTGAGACAAGAAGTACTCTGCATATTAATGCAACATGCCGGACAAGAATACAAAAAGGAAGAGGTTGAAAAATAAACCTCTAACCCAAGCATTTAACAGCAAGCTCCTGAAATTGAAATAGCTTTTGGTACGAAGTAAAAGTGTTGGTCAGCAACAGAGATTTGACATTGTAGTCTACTTCCCATGATTACATAGATTTGTTGGCATATCACAACTTTGTGGGATTAAAATCAACAGCAAAAGGATGATGATTTCTTGTTGCAATATGAAATTTTTAGAACGTCTTAACCTTGAGGGCAACCTCCTCCCAACCCCATGTACATGTACATGTACATGTACTTCTTAGGAAAGTATATGTTTAGTTTGGTCTTCAAATTTTGTATAGTTAGGGGTATTTAGATCATATTGTAGATATTTGCAATTGTGCCTTTTTATTGTTAGAGATCATCGCCGACTCCTTGGTGAATAGGAGTCCTAATTGGATTGGGTTATGTCTTGTTTTAGTTGATTAGGATTATATTGAGCACTCCGTGATTATCCTTATAGGGCTGAGTTAGCATGATAGGAGTTAAAGTCCTTTTAGAATTAGAATATGAATTTTATAAAGGTAGCGTAAAAAGCATTAGCCGTGAGGTTTGTAGGGGCAATACGTGAGGCCTTGGAAGGCATTAGTGAGGTTTGTAGGGGCAATACGTGAGGCCTTGTAGGGGGGGGTAAGAGAGAGAGACGTGAGTTGTATAGAGAGTAGTAGAGAGACTTGAGTGTTTTTGTGTGCTTTTTTTTTTGTTGATAATGAAGGAAATTGTTTTTTCTCTCTAGATTTGGTGTACGCATGTGCATGTCGTTTCTGTTGCGTGCTTGATATTGTTTTTGTGTTTCTAGTTGTGCATGGGGTGCTTGTTGTGAGCGTGAATTTTTCGCTGGGCAACTCAACAAGTGGTATCAAAGTGAGCTCGATTGTGGGTGCTCAAGAAAGATTGGGGCATCAGAACTGAAGGAAACACCGTTGACATTGCAGACAATGGGAACTTGCTGGTAACTACAACTACATCGATTAACCATCCTGCATGGAATTGTATTTGAGAGGGCAAGATCTCTAGGGGATGCTGAACGCAGCGATATTGTTGCACTATTGGAAGAAGTTGTGGATGGAGAAGCCTTGTGGAAGCAGAAGATCTGAGCGGGAAAGACGTTGTATGTGCTGAAATTTTTGATCCAGAAGGAGCTCAAAAAACACAAAAAGGAAGCATGGGATGTCCTCTCGTCTTTGTTCTCTCGAGCAAACAATGCCTTGTAAGTGAAGAACCTATGCAATGAAATCTCAGAACTTGATGAGGAGTCTAGTATCAACAAGAAGCATATTCAGAGATTGATTATCCGTGGGCTTAAACCAGAGTTTGATGGGTTCTTAACTGCAGTGTGAGGATGACCCACATGGCCCATGCTGACGAGTTGGAGAACTTGTTGGTTAATCAGGACTTTTGCTGTAGGTCAACATGAAATCCAAAAGTTCAACTTGGACTATTAGTTCCCATAAGCTTTGAATGATGGGAAAGAAAATCCCAACGAAAGTTAATTTCCAGAATTGGGAGTGGGAATATACTTAGGAACATGTGCGTGTTTTTGGTTGGAAATTGGGTAGCTTCTAAAAAGCATTGAAAATGTGAAAGCAACATGCGTAATGGGTTAGGGTGTACCATTTTGGACTCAAATTATGTACTTTCTTTTAAAACTACAACAATTTGCTTGTAGCTTTTGGTAGAGCTTGGCTCCCACCTTTTCTCTCTTTACATTCTCTCTTCATGGTTGTTTTCTCTCAATAAGTTGTTGTACCTCCATAGCTTAGCCGCATCATTTGGTATCAGAGCATGAGTTTAGGCTTGGGTATGGTGTTATCTCCATTAGCACATCATTTTCTGTGGCGGCAAGAAGGAAGAGAGGTGGTTGTGGCAACTACCAAGTGAATAATGTAAGATATGAAGAGTTGGAGGCACTTCATAGGCAAGTTGAGCAGTTTACCTTGCGATTCGAGCGGCAAGAGGCTCAAAGTGAACATGAACTCAGCCAGGAATATTCAAGTGATGAGTTGAATGTAAATCCCTTTGCCAATTGGCGTCGACAAAGGAATGACCATGAAACCAGGCCCATGCTTGTGAAGGACTCTATCAAACTTGAATTACCGGAGTTCCATGGTGCCATTGAGAAGTACTTTGATTACAAGGAAACACCGTAGGAGCTCCATGTGAACTCGTTGCATTTAGGCTTTGGGTATATGTTTTGGTATCGTGGGACAAAGTCCAGCAGATGCGCCAAAAAAGAGGAAAGCCTAAGATTTTATCTTGGGAAAAAATGAAATCGAGGTTGAAGGAGAAATTTCTACCAATTGATTACACTCAAATGTTCTTTTCACAATTCAATAATCTTCGACAAGAAACAAAGAGTGCGGCTGAATACACCAAGGAATTTTACAAACTAATAGCGCGAAATGACATCCAAGAAACCGAGGAACAACTTGTTTCAAGGTATGTTGGTGGATAGCGGTTGGCGATTTGTAATGAAGTAGAGATGCACCAATTATGGAAAATCAATGACGACTATCAACTAGCGTTGAAGGTTGAGGTGAAACTTTCTTGTGGCAGTGCACGAAAGTATGTTGAGGTACGTAGTTTCTACCCATCTTCAAAGGGTGAAACTTCCAATGGAGGAAACACCAATAAGGATCTTCCAAAGAACTCCACAATTGGCTGAGGTGGGTCGGCCCAAGTGGGAAGGTAGTCTAGGCAAGTTAACTAGCCTCTTACTTGCTTCAGATGTGGCCAAACTGGACGCATAGCAAGTGAGTATCTGCGACGACAAGTGGACACTCGTGTCAACATCATGGAAGAGAGATGAGGAAGAGTTTGTAGAGGATACCGCAGAGTCCACCTATGATGAGGAGACAAATTGGGTGTAGGAAGAGATCAAACCTGAGGCTGGAGAGAGCTTGGTGATTCGCTGAGCTTTAACTACTCCAAAGGTGGACTCCGTCGAGGATTAGCTGAGATCCAATATCTTCAAAACTTGTTACAAATGAGGTGGCACAGTGTGCGCCATTGTTGTTGATGGAGGAAGTTGTGAGAATATTGTCTCGCAAGAAATGGTGGAAAATTCAAGCAAAAAATCGAACCATAGCCAAAACCCTATTGAACTGCATGGTTCAAGAAAGGAAATGAGGTAAAAGTGACTAAATGCTTCTTAGATTTCTTATTTTTATTTTGATAAGTGCGTAGATTTTTTTTTTCATTGGGTAAAAATTACAAAGATGTGGTGTCGTTCCAATGGATGTATGTCACTTACTTCTTGGGAGGCCATGGTAGTTTGACAAGCGAGTCATACATGATGGCCGCAAAAACACCTGCACATTCCGGATGGGTAATTTGGAGGTTATGCTTTTGCCTAGCAAGAAAGAGAGTTCGCCTACATCTATCCAAGATGAGGGTACTAACTTCCTTACCTTGTTTAAGCTTGTGAAAGAAAGTGAGAGTGGAGTCATGTTTGCGTTGGTTGCAAAAGAAGAGGTGAGACCCACGAGTGTACCTAGTGAGTTGAAACCCCCTTTGGAGGAGTTCAAGGACATCACCCCCGATGATCTACTAAATGGGCTACCCCCATTAAGGGATATTCAACATCAAATTGATTTGTTACCCGGTGTTAACATGTCGAACAAAGCTCACTACCATATGAGCCCAAAAGAGTGTGAGGAACTCTATCAGCAAGTTGTAGAGCTACTGAACAAGGAGTTTATCTGGGAAAGCATGAGTCCATGTGCGGTGCCGGCATTGAAGGATGGCAAATGACACATGTGCATTGGTAGTTGTTCTATCAATGGAATCACTATCAAATACTGGTTCCCAATTCCAAGGTTAGATGATATGTTGGATATGTTGGGAGGTGCCCAA